ACACTCATGATTTAGACAGGTATTTAGGCAATGGAGTTTCTATTTTGCAATATGCTGACGATGTTCTTTTATATGTTGAATCTAATCTAAGTGACCAAGCAGTGAGTGTACTATCATATTACATATTCAAATAAATTGACATTGTTAAAGTGCTGGTTAGATTCGAATGGTCTAGAGTTATCTGCTAGTAAAACTCCATTGTGTTTTTCTCAAGGCGTAAAGTCCATCCCTCAAGAAATGTTTCTTTTAACAATAACATAATCCCAGTTGTTGGCGAGGTTTTATATCTTGGTATTCTTTTTGATTGTAAAATGAATGAATCTGCTCATTGTGATTATGTTGTTAATAAATGTGAAAAGGTTCTTAACACGCTTAGATATTTATGCGGGGTCTGGTGGGGTAGCCATTCGTACTCTTTAAAACTGCTGTATAATGTAAATAATGCTCTGATTAGGAGTATAATTGACTATGGATCTTTTACGCTGGAGCCATGTGGTTTGTCTAATCTTAAAGCTAGATAAGATTCAGTCGAAGGCTCTTAGAATAATAACCGGTGCTATGAAATCAAGTCCGATAAATGCGATGCAAGTGGAGTACGCTCGCCCTTCGTCAACACTTTCTAGCTGATAAATTATTTTTCCGCATTATCCAATTTAATCGTCACCCTTTACTACAAAAACTTGAGCTATTAAACAAGCTAATAAATACCCCGGGTTATTGGTCTCACAAAAGTACTCCTTGCCTTATAAATAGTTACAGAAAGTATCTTACATTACAAGCTCCAACTCATAGTTTTGGTATTCACCCATTATACGGTAGTAATTATGAATGCCTTATTTTGCCCCCGGACGTTTGTTTTGATTTTAGTGAAGTTGACAGGCGTTTTGCGAACGCTGCCTTTAACTTTAATTTAGATGTTAATTGGCATTCCTGCAATCATATTTTCACTGATGCTTCTAAACTAGATAACTCGGCAGTAGGAGTGGTTGTTATTCGTTCTCAATAGATATTATTCTGAAAACAAAGCTACCTCCTGAAACATCCGTTTTCACTGGTGAATGCGTAGGTCTTCTTAAGGCAGTTGAATACATTCTCTTAGCAAAATTACATAAAACAACAATATTTTCTGATTCTAAAAGTGCTTTGCAGTCATTATGTAAATTCCCTTTTAAATCGAGTAACATTTTCCCAATTATTTGTCAAATTCGTGAAGCCCTTTACAAGTGCCATTCAAAGGGTCTTTCTGTATTATTTGTGTGGATACCAAGTCACAGTGATATTAGAGGTAACGAGAGAGCCGATATCTTAGCTGAAGATGCAGTAAATAACGGCGATTTAGATTTATATAGAAACTTTGCTAATGACTTGGCTACACTACGTGCTATTTATCTTAAAGAATCTTTGCAAACTGTGTGGGACGCAAGCAGTAAAGCTACGGGCAGATATTTTCGTGATATACAGCCCGACATCCCTGTCAAACCCGGGTTTTCGCGTACACATTTTGAGTGTTACTTCAATCATTACAAGAATGAGATTAGGACATACTTGCTCATCTGAACATTATGCTAGACTTAATATAATATCTGATTCAATGTGCGAATGCGAACAAGACATTGACAGTCTGAACTACCTTTTCTTTTCCTGTCCAAGATATGACCGTGCTTCGTTTTTTCAATCTATAATTTCTTTACAAATTCCTTTACCAACATCAATTGCTCTGTTATTATCGTATAATAATTATTCCGATTACAATGCGCTGGCTCAGTTTATAAGGAAAAATGATATTAAAATTTAGATTATTATTCATCCAATTGTCATTGTTTTCAGCTATCTCATTTCCATTTCTTTTCATAATTTCCATCCTTCATTGTTTAAATTTACCTTTATATATACTACCTATCCTATCCTGTTGATCACCTTTCCAAAATTCCGTTTGCTTTTATTTTTATTCCGCGATATCCTTTGCCCGATTTTAATTTCATATTAATATCCAAAAACCCACATCAAAGTTGACAACGTGAAGACAACTGCGACGACAATAATATCCTGAAGTCTCAGGAAAAAAGAAAACATTTTTGGCAACTCAATGGATATTGCATATGGCCAAGGCCTGGACGCCATAGTGTCAAAATATAAGAAAAAAGTTTTGTTCGAGAAATAACAATACTAATAGCGCCTCCCGTCCTATATGCTCTAAGGGCATAGTTGATAATTCCACCTACTTAAATTTAAAAGAGAGTGAACCAATGGTCTTATATGATCATTGAGGTGAACCAATTTCTTTTGATGAATTTAATTTGAATGACATTACATACCTTCAAAGGTTCTGTAGAACCTGCAAACTTAAATTCCAACGATGAATTTTCAGTATATCATCATGGCCAAAAATAATAGATAATATATATTTTATGAAAGAGACATCTTTAATCGGCCGCTGGAAGCTCTAAGGGACCTCGCTGAGTGAAGAAAAACTTTCATGGATTTCTTACAAATAGCGCTACGGCAAAAAAGTCGTTAAAAACTAACAAAAAAGATGCGCAATATAAGTACAGAAAAATTCGTAAGGTCTGCTGGTAGTTTCGTAGCTCAGTTGAATTCCTATTGGAGTAGGCAGAGACTTTACTTAGGTACTACTTCATTAATCTTTCATACAAGCCCTCTTATTCTTCACATTACGCACTCCAGCCTTTTTAACATTGTCGATTTGATCTGAAAACTTTCTTCTCTTCCAATATACTTTCCACTATAGCTCTACATTTCGTCATTTCCGTCAGAACCTGCTTTCACTCGTCCGCTCCAAGTGCTCAAACCACCTCAAGATACCGTTCCCTATTTTGGTCACTACAATTTTTTTCTCGTAACCGCACGTTACTAATGTATAATGGATACATTTGTTTTGAGTGATCTCGCTTTGTTTTCTTACTCAGGTATGTACGACAAAAATGTCAGATGCTGTAGTTAGTGAGGAGAATTACATAACTTTCTTAGCGCTATTAATTTTCCTGAGCGGTGTAAGCCGTCATGTCAGTGAGTGTAGTTGTACTGTACCCTTACTATACCTATGTATAGTACTAAAAAATAAAAAGGCATTGGACGTTCAAGTTCTCTGTAACACTTAAATAAAACTGTAAGGCAATTAGCAGATGAACTACATGTCTGCGATTAATGCCTCGTTATCAACTGCATGCAGTCTAGGTTTAGGTCATGTGAACGATGGTACGAGAATCAAAAGCTGTAATTGACATTCTTAAGCCGATATGTTACTAATGTTTTATAGAATCTGAAGCATCTTGATTTTTTTCAGTAACGAAACAGGTAATGATTACTTGAGGGTTTAATAAGTATAAGGGTAAAACTAAAACGCGACTTCTGAAACTATTTCGCGTCTTTGTTTTCATTTTTGATAGCAAACTCCACCGCAGAGTATAGTCGGGGACTACGGACGTGTTTTGTTGACAAGTTAAATCGGCGGATTTCGACAATGATAAATGTTTTATTTCTTTGTCTTTGGCAGTAGCAAAGGCAGCATTTGGAATCATATCACAATGACAAACTACAAGTAAGATTTGTGCTTCCATTTCGTCATCAATTAACTAATATACTGGGTTCCCCTGAGCTAGGCGCGCGGCGATAACTGCTCGCAATCAGTGTCAGTCAGTATAGGTAAGTCTGATGTAATATGGGTACTTATATCAAGCATCATACCTACATAAAAAGAGTGATTAATTTCTAAATAATAAAAAACAAGCACAACATTAAATAATAGCTTTCGAAGCGTAAGTAGAAGATGCAATTGTATTCATTGTATCACTTCCGCAGTAGACAACTCTTTCCTTGGACAATGGGCTCACGTGACTCGTGACGTCACGGTGGTCTGTGTGCCATGCCGCATGATACGCAGGCGGGTGACAGGAACGGACAATGAGAATCGCTATTGAAGTGAGATGGATCTACGCTTGGCTTCATTCGATATAATATGAGACTCAATGCAACAATGCAATAGCGGACATTCACACACACGGTGATCGTTGATGGTATGTCCCTATTTCATTAATTGATACGAATCCTAATGAAAAAAGTTTTTATATATTAATGTTTCATTTTATTTGTAACGAAAAACATCATAATTCAGAGCCTCTTGTACCCTTATAGGTACATCTTGCTACTGGACATGTCCCACGTGAAACCAAATACTGTCGTCATTCATTATATATTATAACATAATAATTAGTTATTCATTATACATGGATAATTAATTATTATGTAGGTATTAATAAAAATAATCACATGCGCAATAATCCATTCCGTCCATTCAGATTTTTTAAATTTTCATATCGTGTTTTCTCAATTCCAGAATTTTGAGTTAGGTACGACAGTATTTTGGTTTCATGTCCAATTGTCCCTTCTAGGATAGGTAGGTGCTTACAAACAACATTTACCATCGCTTACGACAACATGAGTGAGGAACGAAGGATAGGTAACTTTAATAATTATATTTACCACTATATTATCCTAGGTCTGGCGTTGAGGATAAGATTGAAATTGTGCGAATTAAGTGAATGAAAATAATTCTATATCATTTATGATTTGCCAATCGACGTTCACATATCGTACCAAACCATATCTAGGAACTTAATTTTTTTATATACATAGGTACTTATTTAGAAAGTATCTACATCATAATGTCAAAAATGAAGGTAGCTGTCTAGAGCTAAACTTCTTTGAATACAAAGTACATTTTTTATTACAATATCTACGCAGAAACGCTTTTGCTATTATATTATATATATGCATTAATTACAATAGCACTATTTAAGTAAGAGATAATAATATATTAAAGTCGGCAAACGTGAATACCGTTATTGCAATCCTTCCAGTCGCGATGGCGGGGCGCACCCTTCCAGACTCCGCCCCTTCGCAATCGCATCTTGTGCATTGAGCGACCGCGCTTGAAGGAAGCCACTTTACTGGCACTGTAAATATATATCGTCACATTTACAATGCCTCTTTGGATGCCGTACGCGGAAAAAGCGCTGGACTTGAGTCGGCCAGTGAAAAAGGAACGCGTGTCTCCGGCGTCCCGCACCGAGGGATACTCCAACCCATACCTACCTTCAAGAGATTGTACTTTTGTTTCACCAAACAGTGATTATGTGCCCTCTGCTCAAATCTGTTTGCCACAGTTATACCCAGCCGCAAACTGGAAATCGAAGACTACGCCATCACCACTACAGTCACCGAAACTGTACGATACGGAGTCCCTGTACGACGATATTGAGTACCAGACATTTGAAAGGGAAGCAATGATAGCGATGTCGGGGAGAAATGGCGGCAGCCTGGTGGGGAACAACCCGCGGATGAGGAGATCGGTACAGAGTAACCAGGAAGACGACGACGGCTACCGGAAGCAGCGAGCGCGGAATAACTTTGCAGCGAAACAGAGCCGCGATCGGCGAAAACTGCGCGAGGTACGGCTGGCCCTCCAGGTTACCTTTCTTAGGAAGAAGCTGGCAGCGCTTCGAACCGCGGTCTCCGAGCCGCAGTGCCCGCACTGCCGGTCACACTGCCTGTGCTAATCTGGACATGAACCGTCGTTTTATTCTAGTCTGACTTTAACATTATAAATATGTTATATAAATGGTGTTGAGATTTTATAGAGGATCTCGAGATTTTGAATTTAGTGACTTAACGGATACTCGTTATATATGCGTGATAATACATATAACTGATAAGATTTTTTAATGAAAATTCAGACGATAATGTATATAAGTAAATGTAACAGTGGTGTGATCAACACATTTTGTAATTTTAAGTTACCAATTATGTGTTCTGTGTGTGCGCGTGTGTGTGCAAGTAGGTTCTGGAGTAAGGTTCGGACAACCTGAGATTTTCTACAAATAACTAAATAAAGGTCATTACGACATACAAAATCTCTCATTTACCTAAAGTAATACTTATAGAAATATTTAGGAACTTATTTATAGTACATACATTATGAAATAAAATTCTGACTACTTACTATGAAACGACATAAAGCTATTTTAGTGTAATATTACAATTACAAAGACAATTCCAAAAGTAAATTTTGGCTTTTCTCATTTCGAAATGAAACAAAATTCGTGTCATTTTTAAATACAAGTACCGAGACGTAATTCTTGTACAGCGCAAACGTTTCGACTCATTGATTTTGTAGGTATGGAGGCATACAATAAATTAATGGGCGCACTTTGCGTTTTCGGTTTGATCTTCCATCACATATACGAAGAATTTACGAGCAAGGTTTTATAACTATACCTCTTTAATCTTTAATACTAACCCTCTTTCACAAAATGGGTAAAACAAAAGAAATCTAGAAAAACAGGTTATTACACAAATTGTCCAAATGTACCTACAACGAGCGACGCGCGTCGAAGCCTCCACTGCTTTAATGGTCTGCACTGGACCAAGATAATAAATTTTTCATCGCATCATAATGAAACATAGATTCAGTGGTTGTATGTGTATCCTGTAGACAAGCCCAACTGTATCCAAAAAGAAAACATTACTACCCACAAAAAAATATTGATTACTCTTTGTTGGTCCAGTCGCGGAGTAGTAGTCTACCAAAGCTTTACATTAGATAGATAGGGCAGGGCCCTGCATACACGACATGATGGCAAGACTCGCAGAGACAGAACCGTGGACAGTCAACCGATTCCTTTTTTTATTTTAGAATTGAAAAAGGGTACAATTTTCTTTATCCTCCAAAATTGTATGTACTTATACAGTTTGATGATCTAAATAAATCTTAATTCTACAAAAGGTTTATAAAGTGACATTTGGCGTGGTTAAGAATTCGTAAATAAAATAATACTGTAATTACTTATATGACAAAAAATTGTGAATAATATTATTTTTTTATTTACCTACACTTTTTTTATTTCATATCTGATAAACTCGAGTAATTTTACCTACAGCAGCTTCTACATGTTAAAGCCAGAGAGCAAATGCTGCCGAGCAAAACAATCTGTGAAATATTTCTCTCCGACTTTGAAGCTTCACCATCCTTCACACCTACTAAAAAATATACTTAAGATTATAATTGTAAGTCAATGGTTAAGATGCAGGATTTTGAAGGGCAAATCCATAGTTTAACTCCAATGAATAAGTACAAACGACGCTTCATGCGTAAACAGTAACTTTTTTTATTAATTTGTAATTATTCGCAATCGCTAAAACATAGAACTCGATATTTATTATCTACTAAGCATTTCATATGTGAAGCCACATACTTAACTTATTACAACAACTAATGAAAATTGTACCTGGAATATTTTCTATTCCTAATAGATTCAATGTGATTTAAAAACAAACAAATTTATATAATAACGCACACACTCAATAATAATACCTATGCATATTATGTACCTATAAATATATATTACATGTTTGTCCCGCATTCCATTATTATTCATTCCGATTGCCATAAAACTTCGTGAGTTGTTGTACCCACGCCCACTAAAGTTTACATATTAGACCACTGCTGGGCACGGCTCTACTGTAAGGAAAGTGTTACGGCCATATCAGGATTGGGTACTAACGGCTAGGGATTTCACGTGTTTTCAGTGGCATTGCCACAAAGGTGTTGTATAGAAGCCTTAAATCACTGTAAGTTATATTTGAACCACAATAAGCATAATGAAACCAGTCATTCGTTATTTTATGGAATCTAAAACTCGGCAGGAGTTCTCATCACAGCAAACAATGGGCTAGGTATTTTTATCTATTACGCAAGTGTACCAATTTTTTCGTAATTTAGTCGCAATTGCAAAAGTACCAATTTTTTTGTCATGACCTTCACTATTCCCATGTCAGGAAGTACCTACACTGTTGCTTTGTTCTAAAATCCGAACCAACTCACATTGTCACTGTTTGTAAATTAATGGTTTGACAAAGTAGCAACAGATACATAATTGCAAGCTTGCGAGACTCTTGCAGCAAGACCTAGACCGTGGTATACTACACGAGACCAAGGAACTGGATTAGTCTCGCTTTGCTCTTGCATTGGGCACCACTAATCTAGATGTGTATATAATTCCCGAAAAAATAATAAAACATTAAAATTACTTTTGTTTCTACGATTATAATATGTACATACCTAATTGTAATGAGTTTAGAAATCACAAAAGTCTTAATGAATAAAGCAAAGTTTTAATTTGCTTCATCAAATGAAATACCTAATGAAAAGAAGGGGTTGTTTATTTTACTCCACGCGCCGCATCTTACCGCATCTCGAACGTGACAACAAGGAGTCAGATTACCTCACAGCTGCCGCGGGACATATCTGTCTTGCTCTTGGGATTAAGGTGACACGTGACTGCAATCGCTGCCTCGCTCGCTTATTGCGAATTCGCAGCAGTATTGATATTTTATTAAAATAATCGATAGTTCGCTAAGGGTTATTGGATACACTTGGATTGACGAACTGGAAAATCATTTATCCATCAGTACTTATTAACAAAAATGTGTTTAAAGTTACAGATTTATTCCCTGTAAAAATAAAGAAAAAAATATTCATATTGCTGAGAGCTAAAGAACTAAATGTTACGTTGCGAACACAACGCGGCATTTAAGTAATTTTAATAAACAGGTACATAATAATTGGACAATCGGCCAAATATAATGCCTACCTATTAACTTTGAAGTCGATAGGTTACCTTACCACTTTATATAGGTACTCACTCAATCGAGCAAACACAGGCTACATTTCCTTTATAAAACTTAATATTTTATGACTTACTGAAATCTCAACAAACCATATCAATTAACCGTGCTTGACTAAATTAATCAACTGAATAAACCAAGCCTAGAACTCTACCACATCGATTAATCGATACGCGTAACACGCAATGCTTGCCCGTTATGTAATACATAAAGTCGACGTTTACATAACAAAACAGAGCTCGTGAGGGGAGAACCCTCTGACTCAATTATATCCTCACGTAACTCCGACCCTCTGGGCGACCCTCCTGCCGCCGCCGCCGCCGCGCCGCCGCCGGCCAGCGCAAATGCGACAAACGTAGTTGCATATTTCACAAGTATAATAATAAAACCCCAAACTCTGAGTACAAAGGCTGTAAAATTGGATAACAGAAATAACACCAAATTTAATGGATAGTTTTAACTACCACATATTAGAACTTACATAATCACCGGCGCAGCAAGTAAATAGATGATGCTTCTAAAATTCAATGCGTTATGAAATAAAAATATTATTTGATAATGCATAGATGGCTGTTATTTTTCATTACCGTCTCGTAATGTGGCGTGACGGGCGTGGCGGGCGAATGCCCAAATGGGCGGGAGGTGGCTTGCACAATACAGTTTATTTACTTTTTTACAATGAAGGGCGTGTACACACTTCGCTATTGCAGTTTACGGTTTCATAAAATCTTTCAAATCTGACATAGCAGCATTATAATATTACGTATATTATAAATAACGTGCTTAAATGGTGACAAATTGTCGTGCAGCATTGGGAATATTTTGTTATCTTTATAATTGATTCTGCAGTCAAGAGCACATCAAGGTTGACACTTCGGACCGTTCTTAACGCAAGCGGCATAAAATTGTTTTTTTTATACCTATAAGGATTTCGATCGAGCAAACTAACCAACTACTATGTCCCAAAACGTAAAAACCAAACGAGCGGACATTATTTATTTTAAATGAGGATTAAATCCTTCGACAGAAGTCATTATATTGAAGGATTAATTTTATAGCACCGGGCACAGTTTGCAGAAAGTTTTACGACATCGCCGAAAAGTGATAGAACAGTTAAAAGTAAGGCAAATGTGATAAAAATGAGCCTATTGTCCTAGCGTTCCCGTTATGTTGCGAATGTTTTGTTTCGCGGCACAAAGACAACCCTTCGTGGAGTTAATCCGAAGACTCGGCCTTGGCGATTTCACAATTTGCATATTGTACAGTTGTGTCCATTTGTTATCTCGTAGAATAGAACACAATGGACGCAGTGGGATTTTCGTCGAAAGGAATGTCGAGCCGTAGCAGCGGTAACGCCAAACCATTTTGTTTGCGCGTTCAGACAGTGGGAGGTCTTATGTTTATGCAATTTTCTAATATTGCAAAATTCTGTATTTTTCTTTGCTACGGATAGTATACTTAATGCATATTCATGCACCACATTCTTTAGGCAATTTTCTCTCTTATGCTACAAAATGAAACGCGCTGTTATTGTTTTTTATATTATTTTGCTGTTCCACGTTCAAGGTTTTAATAAATCTTGCAACTGCATAAAGGTGTCTTAATAATTCGATATGGTTTGGAAATGAAACCATTTTTCCGGATTTAAATCGCGTATATTTATTTTTTCAAACAAACCAACGTTTCGGGCCCTTGACAGCCTGTAAATTACAGGTCCCATGGTCACAGTTTCATTACCTTTGTGTAACAATCGCGAAAATCTAAGAATTCGATAATTCGATATGGTGCTTAAAACTACTCTGTCCATCACAAATGGAATACCGAATTTCGATCGATAACGGAACCCAGCTGCACTGTTAACCCATCTGTTAATACACACGACAATCAATCATTACAACAAGTACTCAAAGTTCTTTTTGCAACAGCAGAATTACCAGGAAGGGTTTGAGAAAATAAACCGCAGGCGGCCACGTGCCCTTCGCACGCTGCAATATTATGCGACAAGGGCTCGACGCCCGACGGCCCTTCCTTGTGAAAATAAAAGCATGTGCCCCAAACTGTCAACCTCCAACCGATTGCAAATCAATTTAAAAAATGAACCCGTTATTCAATTTTATACTTACTAATTTTATAATGATTTACTTGGATAACCAAAACCACAGAAGACCACGTTTTCATTTCTTACCATTTAGATTTTCAGAACTCATAAAGATTCGTACGTAAGCGGTAGTAGTAGTGTGGACGAAAGGTCACTTCTCAAAGAGATTGAAGGTTCAAGTCCCTGTGGCGACATGTACCCATGCATGACTTTAATTTCTAAGATACGTACGTACTTTTGTGAATATTTATCATACCAATTTTTCCCGCTAACGTTAAAAGAGAACGCGTTAAAACCTGCATGTCGAAGTAGGTTTAGAACTTTTAGAAAATAATTTAAGCCCCCAACGTGCATTAGGCCAACGTGGCGGAAACGTGTGTGGCCTAAACTCTCTTCGTAGAGGAGAGCCGCACCCTGCACTAGGATTTGTGGTGACACATTCGTACACTTAATCGCAATTCACAAATAATGCGGGGTTTCTGTTGCCTGCGTGCGCTATCATCTGCTACGCCGCTACGACGTAGCGGGTAGTTGTATTGTAGTTTTTCTTAACTTACATAATATTATATTATGTTAAAACATTCAAACTTTTTAATGAAATATTTTTTCAGTATGACTTTGCCTACAAAATTATAATTAAAACAGCACAACTCATTCACTGCCGAACTCTATTGTTTTTCAATTGTTTTCCGAACCTACGAAAATATTTACAACACTTATCATATTTATTTACACGCCAAATCCTTAGGACTAATATACCTGCGCCGGCGCTTTCAAGTACGGTCTTATGCATCTACAACTATCCGGATTAACCGTGGGATTCCCGACGCGACAGTCGGCATAGGGGCGCTTTGTCTTAACGTAGCAATTGTTTGGATAGGGCACAGAATACACACCAAAAATTATTAAAATAATACCACACAAAATTAATAGAACTGATATTTATCAATATTTTACATACTTATTGGTTAGCATGTTTCATCGCTCTACCGACTATCAATTGTAATTAGCAGGCAATTTTTTCCGGACAAAGTATTTCCGATTCATCGCTTCACATTTTGATCTCGTGTTAACTCGTACCAACGGTACCAACGACTTATACATATTACTTTCTTTTATAAAAAGGTAGACTACGGCAATAACTGGAGAACGTTCTACTCTTTTAAAAGATGGGAAGATCATGCTAGATTATTTATAAATTTGAGTATCCCTTGTACAGCTATTAGTATGACCCGTTATTTTAGAAAAAGTAAGTTAGTGTGTCAATCGGATTGTCGCTGGAAGTCTAGACTAGGTAAATCTAGACTCGAAACGGGTACGCTTGTAATTTTATGATGAGCCTATTCAGAGACCGATCTTAATCTTTGCTTTATAAGATACAAGCAAGTAGGTAATTTTGCGTGACTGCCGCTACCTGTGTTTTTCTAATAAAGGCGTTATCTGAAAATTATGATACGGGCTTTAGGGTAGCAAGCCCAAATAAATTATATAAATATTGCGTTTCTCATTTACTACCCACCCCACCCGTCTTTAGAAATAGCAAGTCGTTTCGCAACTTTCGACCTATTTAACACTGCGCCCGCCTCTCGGGCACACGGTGTCAAAGGACACGTGCCACCTGAAGCGGCTACCTGCGCCCGCGCACACTTTTTTCCGACAATGCCACGTTTGTACTTTTTAATTGCCCTATAGTATGTTGTATAACTATTCATGCACTCGGCTCAGAGTTTTTAAAAGATATGGTATTACAAAGAGCCATAAAAATATTTATAAAGACAACAATAATCTCATCAATAAAAGGTACAAAAAAACATTTTGCCAAGTCAAGAAACCGCTACAACGCCGATGCATATATTTTGTCCTTCATAGAGTAAGTACCAAATGGCATGAAAACTTCTGCGTCTATTCAAATATATTCGTTCTTTTACGTTTCAATAATATCAGTAGGATGACAATGCGAGCGATCCGCAGACCACCGGACATCATCATTACCGTTTCTCGAATGCACATTTATATGACACGGAGCATTACCGCGTTTTTTCAACGCTTGCCCTAGGAAAGAGTTGTCAGACGGCGGAAGTGACCACAAAGAGCGACAGTTGCATCGCTGGACGCTTCAACACGCTTCGACGAACTTCTAAGACACTTAATTTCTTTATAAAACATTAAATATTAAAATTAAATGCTTATATAGGTAGTATTTTTTACATATCGTCATTTGGAACACTTTATATTCGGGGTTACCTATTTTACGTTGAGAACAGCAAAATATGTATAGTATCCCTGTGCCCGGTTAAACATCAAGCATACCAGTATTTTAAAAAATAAAGACCTTTTGTTCATCGTGGTTGTGCAAGGATCGGACACCATAGCCTAACGCAGACCTTAGGGATGAAAAGGTTGTAAAACCCTAATGAGCCGTGACCAGATTAACAGCAATAAAATAGGATACTTCGGTCCGCAGAAAATTTATTCGTAATGAAATCGAAAGGGGAAAAAGAGGTTGTAACATAAAAAGGTATGTATATAAAAAACAGGTACGACGCTCCAAAACACTCCCTACTTACATACTAAACGCGAGAAAGACTTACCCCGAAAGAGCCGAGTTAAACAGTTATACAGGTTGGTATTAAAATTGGCATATGATTAGTAGTAGTTATTACAGATTGCTATTAAAACTGGTAAAATAATCAAAATTAAACGCAATTAAAAAAACTGTCGCTGCCGCGATCGAGCAGGAGTGGCGATGGAACGAAACAAAATCAGAATGGCGAGGCAAAGGAATTATTCGGACGATTCAAAATTTAAAACAAGTGGATAGGAACCGGAGAAAAGACGATAAAAGGGGATGACGATGTATGGAGGTCACATCGTCACAGGGAGACCCGCGCCCAGCGGAGGTCGCATAACGGGCTGACGATGATGTCTATTTTAATAATATACAAAAGTTATACATAAATACTGGCTTATATAGACTCCTACGTAATCTGTTGACAGATTATTTCATAAATCACTTTCTTTTTACGTAGCGGTCTATTACAGCAATCATTTATATTGCATGAAAAAAAAATGTTCCAAATTGTATTGCCCTAATATTAGTTCAAACACGCCTAGGTAAATATTCTTTGTAGTTCAAGACCTGTTACTTTCGGAATACTTACCTACCGCAAATGTAAAGCGACTTTAGTATTATATTCAACAGTCAGATCAGTAACGGCCCAGCAACCACGAAAAAGTGGACTGGCCATTGAGGCATTCGAACGCCGGAACCAACAATTAAGTGTGGCATCGTCAACTCGGATGTTCTATGAAGCTGATACGAACTGACGGCCCGTCTTGCATCTGTTGTGCCATTTCAATTATATCGATCGTTTTCTTATTTAAGTATGTGACGTTGTTGCTTCAAAGAGACATATTCAACAAGACTCCTTAGTTATTAAAATAAGTGAACTTTAAAAAGTTGATTGCTTTCTCCACAGTCACAAATATTTAGTAATTGTTTATTTATACATAATTTCCTCACTACATACAAAACAACATAAGTTTCTCGCCTGGTCGCTTTTAGACTCTTTCTCCATCTTCTCCGTTTCCAAATTTCATTATAAGTTTCCCCGTTTTAAGACCAAGTCAAAAACCTTGTAAGTGGCAAAGCCTTCGGAAAAGCTGTGAGAAATAAGAAAAAAGTGTTTAAAAACTCTATAAAGTAGAGTTGACTAAGAGGAGTTGGAGAGTTGGCCAAGTACTCGATGAGACAAAGTTTATAGGAAAGCACATTTATGTCAAATAGCTCGAATGCATCAAATCTTTTCAATTATTGTATATTTGAGAGTTCGGATAATCTTAAACATACTGTGACCATACCTAATATAATTTTACTTATTTATACGGTTTTCCTGAAATGATTGCATTGTCATTAAAAAATACATATATTTGTTTAAATGGGGTTCTGTTATAATGATAATGTAACATAACTATTTATAGAAATAAAAAGGAAAATATAATTGTTATATATTTTATTATTATTATCTTACATTAAACACTTTTATTTTATGTTAATTAAATAGGTAATTTAGTAAAATTTAGTTATACGTAACAGCTTTTTACAACTACTTTATTTTTAAGTTTACAATATAAGATTGCACGAAAACATACCAAGCCTATAATCTATGTTTATATCTAAAAATCGTAGAAGAGAGTCCTCTTTAGGTATATACAGAAATGGCACTGACACACCCACATCAACTGTTTGTCCATATTATACGTTAATTCGGTCAGTTAACTGTCGAAGGACCGGGAGCAGGTGACACATGTTTTACCGGCAAGCATCGCTTTCATCTTTCCCACTTCGTTCTTCAAAAACGCCACTTTCAGAGCTAGGTGGATCTCACGCAGCTTCCTTCTGTCCCTGCTTTGCTTGGCAGCGAGGTTGTTCCTCTCCCTCTGTTTTCTATAAGTGTCGTCGACTGCCTGACTCGTGAGCACAGCGCGACGCATGCGAGGGTTATTCCCCAGCAGCGTCCCTCCGTTCTTCTCGGCCATCGCTCGCATCGCGTCCCGCTCGAACGCTTGGAAGTCAGGATCATCAGACAGAACGTCAGCGTCGATGTTGTAGTCGATTTTCGACGCGGGAGAGTCCGGCGGCGACAGCGGCACAGGTCGCGGATACATCGGAGTTCCCGCTTCGTAGCCAGAGCAAGTGCTCCCGGCGGAGACGGGCGATATTTGCGCGCACGGCGCGTAAAGCACCGGCTGAGGATGGTAGCCCGGGTAGTAACTAGGCTGGTGCACGTCTAGTACTGGGTTGTAGTAGTACCGCTCTGAAGGCGACGACGGCGCGGGCGATCGCTCCGACTTGACCGGCTTGGTGAGATCCAGTGGCGCCTCGGCGTACGGAGTCCACAGAGACATGATTGTTGCACTGACACACTTGGCAGCTAATGAGTGTGGTCCAAACGGAGAATGGAGCACGAATGATTTCGATCTGGGGTGCTCAAGCGCCCTTCAACGCAATGGGCGGGGCTTGAGGGTGCCTGGAAGGGGTTGTGCAGACGGCCGCTACCTGCGATAACGGGAACGACAAAGACTCGCAGGACAAACAAGGCTGAGTTGCAGTAAAATAACACGCGCACTCGTCTAGGCCGTTGTCTCGGCGGTGCCGAAGCCGGCTTATGAAGATGCTTCAGGTAATTTGCTAATGAGTTTGTTGTCGATCCGTCGAAGCTGCGTAAACAGATTCAGCAACAACAACTATTACTTATTCGCATTTCTTGATTAATCGATGCGGCAAGAGTACGTAATTACTTAAATACGTATTATAAACAAACATAGGAATGGTAATTCAAAAAAACTTTCGATTGTAAAAACCCATATTTAAATTTTGCATGACGTTACCGAACTTAGTGTAAACGTAACTTAATCTAAAGTCTCGGCACACGTCATGTTTGTAATCTAAGTAGTAGTGGTTAATATCTACATAATTGATTCTGTTATAATTGGTTGTAACTTGAATTCCTATTCTTTGTAATGTCAAAAAATAACCCAGTACTTATATAAAAATGTAGGCGCGGCTTGCGCAAGAGCACGAGTTAAATGACGGGGTGAAGGCAACCAATGAGCGCGCGGCAATAAAAAGACGTCCGCGACCCTTGTCGTCGAGGGGTGTTGTGCAATGCAAAACACCCACAAAGTTATATAAAAGTACTTCTAAAAATTACGTTTTTATTCATCATCATCATTTCAGCCGTACAATAAATTAGAAATGAATCTATTTTTTCGGATCTAAGTTGCGTAAGTATAATAATATGTTTATATAGTAAATAACTATAAATGCCCCTGACTGAAGCGGTGAATTTTTTTCTACGTGTTGAAGGTTCGTACGTCATATAGGTATAATGTATTAAATTTATTAAAACTATCAAAAATGAGAACGAAAATGTAATTTATATGTATACATAATTTATTAACAACTTTTGCTAAAACTAGAGCTAGATTAGATTATACAAACTAGAGAAGGTAAATGCGCTATACTTTCTGCTTGACGACGTGCGGCAGATCGAACTTGCCGCGCACGCACTTTAGCTTAACTCCCGGGCAGTCCTTCACTCTGTCGGCAAAACACATCACTATACTAACGCATGTTTTTAACTATTATAAATACATACCTAATATGTAATGACTTATCTAATGTATCGTCTGTTTAAAGGTAAACCCACATAAGAGACATTTTCCACAAAAAGTCTGTAATTTATGCACGTGAAACTCAATAACAAAAAAGCTATAAACTTAATCAGAGTTTTATCTGCAGATGGTGATTTTTACAACAATTCTGAGATTTTTTGTGGAAAATGTTACATATATGGTTTTACCTTAAGCAGACGATGTAACGCTGCTTTTCGAGAAAAGTGGTCTAAACCAAAATAGTTAATTTTTATGTTATTATTTTATTGTGAAAATGACACCGAGCTTTATGTTCTTTAATGACCACGTGACAATATTGGCCTACCGATCAATCGGCTTTGCGTTTTAGATAATCTGCAGATGTTTTAAAACCATCTGGAATATAGGTGATTTTGAGATAAGCCGCTGTTATGGAAAGTCATCGGTACGTAGTTGCGGGGAATAAAAGTTTGAACTAATAAAAGACACGAACAAGGGCCAGAATAACTGGATGAGTATAACATTCACAACATACGGAGAAGCTAATCTCCGATGACGGGTGGTTTGGTATAGGCTTTGGAATTATAGGTAGTAACGCCCAACTAAATTAACTGAATCTATTCATATTTATATATATATTAAATTCTGACCAAGAATCTGAGTGTCGTATTTTAGAACTCTACTCAATGCTCAAGTCAGGATTAAGAGATTTTTTGTAAACAGGGGTTACTACACCAAAAAATACCTCAAAATAGAAGTTTACTCAATTTGTTTAAAAACGCTAAGGTTAAGGTTTATTTTTTAGCTAAAACACATAGAACGGAAAATTTTAATGGTTTTGAAGTATTTATTTTTGCGAAGTATGTTTTTTTGACAAAGTTATAAGAAGACGAAGAAATATTGGTAGAAATTTTTCGACGACACTGGTACCATAGGAGAAAATAGCAGAAGTTGGAAACAATTTTTGGTATTGATAAATTTTCGCAATAATTGGCTTTACTTTCATTTGTCTCTCGTCCTTTTCTGAATTCGCTGCGCGTGTGTAATTGTGCGTTGTTGAAGATTTTGTTATTGTTTTTAGTTGTTATTTTATAATCAGCACTTAAATTAATATTTAGGTTTTTTTATATTACTTGTGTAGGCAGCAAACGAGCATACAGCCCGCCTGATGGAAAGCAGTCACCGTCGCTCATGAACGCCTACAACACCAGGGGCGTCACGAGCGCGTTGCCAACCCTTTAGGACCCTTCTCAAACCCCTTTTGAAAGACTCCATGCTGTATTCCTACCTACCACACATTACTACTATATTACTGATCCTTGGTGAAAACCTGTTCTGCATCCCTGACCTGTCACTTTGACATTTCTATAGTTACAAAAAATCTCTAGGATTCCACGTCAGAGCATAGCTCAAATCGTGAGAAGTATCAACTTTTCCGCACCTATTCGTACTCTAAATTAGTTGAAAGATAAAGGACGTACCGTCCGACGCGCACGAGCACGATATTGTGCTCCTGCAGGTTGTGTCCGATGCCGGGCACGTACGCCACCATCTCTTTGCCGTTGGAAAGCCGGACCAGCACGCATTTGCGGTTCGCGCTGTTCGGCTTCTTCGGCTTCTTGATGAGCGTTTTTAAGACCACGCCCTGAAAGGCAAACACTTCATCGATAGCATAAGATTTCAATGACAAACGCAAAAGCATGTGCCTTGCGCCTGTTAGAGGCAGTATAATGCTAAATTCCAACTGTACACAACAAACAATTAACATTCGCTAAAAATTATTATATTCGCACGTGAAACCGAATACTGTCGTAACTCAAAATTGTGTAATTGAGAAAACACGACACGAAAGTTAAAAATACTGAATAAAAGTAATATACATTCTCGTTTATAAATGGATAACTAAATATTATGTATAAATAAAAATAATCACGATATTCGCGATAAGCCTACCGCCTCTCAAGCAAAGGGCGTGGGCTCGAGTCCGAACTCACACCAGGCTCACTTTCACACCATTTACGTGCCAAATTAAATTAAAAATTTACCATGAGCCATTTGGTGAAGGAAAACATCGTCATGAAACCTATGCACGTTGAAGAAGGTTTACAACCATCGGAAAGCGTGTGAAGTCCCCTACCCGCATTGGGCCAGTGTGGCGGACTACGGCCTAAGCAGTGAGATGTATAAATGAGTTGATGATGACGAATTCGCAATAAATAGATATTGCGAATTCGTCATCATCATATATAGATAGATAGACAGATATATAGATAGATAGATAGATCCACTCAGTATTTCTTTTTAATTTTCAAATTTAGAGTATTCAAAATGACATTGGGTGTCGGAGGAAAGGTTTTCAACGATCGATTATTCAGTCACCTTAGCAAAAGGGTTTCCATTGAGCGGGTTTCTAGATTTCCTGGTTTTAACGTGCGGCCCAGTGCGATGCATTTGCGCAAGAGACGCCATGGCACGCGACAACACTCCGCCCGCGAAACCCGCCAGGGGTCGCGTCAGAGCTGCTGCGGGTGCCGCCGGCGCGAACAGTCTGCTCGCTGGCAATTCCGCTGCTGGTAATGGGGCTGGCGAGAAACATTGAACTCGTTTATAAATTCATCAGCATTACAGACAAGGAGAGGGAGCGTAGGAAATTTCTAACATCCGCTGGTTACTATTTGGAGATGGTCACCGCCCAAAGCTCTGTGGTCCAAATTCCGCATCTTACCTTTGGCCGGTGATCCACTCAACCTTTATATGACTATGACTTACATGTTTAGTTATAAGTAGGTACTGTAAGTGTAAGTTGTACAAAATAAATAAATAAATAAATTTCGGTGAGAAGCAACATACTGGCGCGCAGGTTTGCACGTTGTAATGTAGAGGTCAAAACAAACTTGTTCAAGGCCTACTGCCAAACTTTATATATGTGCACGTTGGGCGCGTGAGCCAAACGCACTCGCAACTCACTGGATGCCCTACGAAAAAAGTATAATAATGGGTTTAACATGTAGCTGGCACTCATTGATATTCGGGAGACTATCCTGCGCAAGCGGGCGGCTCCAGCAGCCTCCTGAACACAATTCTGGAGCAGGTGGCTGCCCGATAGTAAGGCACTGGAACGCAGGTCACATGCGTTCCAGAGTCGTCTATTATAATATTAAATAATTAATTAAATATTATTGTCACTAGCATATTTAAGAAGACAATTGTTACTTACAAAATAATAAGTAATTAGTTTGAAATAAAAAAATCATGTTGATTATTATTAAATGGCATATTTAAAGGTATTTCTCGTAAAACATTATGAGAATCATCAGTACACATATCCGAAGAATGTTTGCTCAGCACAGTACCCCTAGTATCTACTTAGAGAGTAGGTATTGAGCGGTGGTGTTGGCAATGCAGAGCATTGAAACAATTGTAAATGTGGCATAATTAACTCAAATACTAACAGCTAAACCTGGAATAGAATCCAACCATCCTAATCCTTTTTGTAACTCCCGTTATCTGCACGAGCAACGCGACAAAAGGCGCGCTAAGCCGCAGCGCAGGTGCGGCCCAACAGCACATGCGTGGAAGAATTAACACGTACAAAACACCTTTCCATGATACAGTACTGCATCATCATATTATATAAAAATAAAGACAAAAATGGGTGCGTACAATTGACAAAGAGTAAAAAAAGCCAATGCGTTGTGTTTTATGGGTCCTTGAAAAAACCATTTTAATTAGTAAATAGTACAATGTATTCTGAGCTCTGAAAACTGTACAGATTCCTCATGATTCTTAAAGATCAATATTGCAAGAAATAATGTTTTGTTTTTATTTTTAAACATTGTTAACTAGTTATTTATTTTGGTTATTTTTCGCCCTATGCGCAGTTATTTAGCTCGGTAAAAGCAAAAAACTCTTACATAATTATGTTCTAAACGAATCACACCCCTGTCGAGTACAGTTAGGCATGTGTGGGATAAACCCCCATCGTTCAATAGCTTTATGTATTGCGAGCGCTAGGGTTACACTCAATTGTGTCAATTGTGAACGCGGGCGATTGGATGCGCCTGCGCCGCGTAGCGGGACTGCCGTTTGATTGACACCCACATGGGAAGTCGTCTGGGAAACCTACCGTGGAATAGGTTCGTCACACTCATTGCTAATGATTTTTGAAAAACCATTCTATTTACGTTTACGATTCCGCTTAAAATCGAGGAACATTTCTCTACCATACAAGTCAACTTGCCATACAAGGGAGATCTTATATAATAAAAAAAGGTACTGCGAATAGAAAGCTGTGCCATTTCCAAAATTAATTATAACTAGTAGGTAGTAGCGTGAAATGAAAAGTTTTCAGAAGTCACTACGATTGGAATAACATTTAAAATAACAAACGCAACGTGTCGACATTGGGGACGGGACGTCTTACAGGGTGTATTAGTGGAGTACAGAGTGTCCGAGATGTTATTGTTCAGGATCATCGGTGACGGTGATCGTCCCGTGGGATGAGCACAGAGCTTGCATCTGCTAACGCAAGCAAATAACTACCGGTGGCGTAAAGCATGAGATGTAGCGTTTTAGATGCAGAATCTGTTTCTTCGTTAAATGAAAGAAAATGGGATTTTCTTAAATAATTCGATTCACGCGTTTCGTCAACACTATTTATTATATACATATATATATCTATTTACAAAGCTTAAATAAAATTAGTTCATTTTGTTGGTTGTCTTGACCAGAGGCGCCTCGTGGGAGATTTCAGTGGGAGTTCACTTACCTATACATATTTGAAATTAAAAATGAAACACATTATAGTGTTCCATTTTAAACAATGCCACTAAACACTACCTTCTTAACAACGATTGAATAATAATAATTTATACAACATAACAAAATACGCTCGAAAAAAACACGGTTCGCATATTTGCGCGGAGCGCCACTCAAATCTTGCTAAATTTCCTCATAACTAATCTTTTGTGTCACGTGTCGCGCCGTTAAGAAATTTCTCTTTCGCACTCATTGAATTTAGTACTAAACTTTGTAAACAATGTCGGTTCACAGGAGCGCATCGCGAAGCGCTTCACTCAAGGGTCACTTTGCTATACTATATTAAAGAGAAAGATAAAAATGTAATTGTGTGTTTCGTTCATTAATAAAAAAAATAATACTGCGGCTACTAATATAATATGAAAGCATAATTAATAAATGTATTTTGGTGGGTTGGATAGGAGTGGGAGTTCACTGTACCAGCGCTCCTTAGGACGAGCCGCCTCTGGTCTTGACATATTATACAAATATGAAAATAATTATAATTATTTCAAGAGTTAACATTCTTGCCCTAGTGTATTGTAGTACATTTATGAAAATGTAAGAATAGTATTTTTTTATGAATAGCGACAGACATAACATTAATAGAAGGAATAAAAATAATCTAGCTGTTCGTGTCACTGTTCACAAAGTCACAAATTCATTTAAGGCGCAATGTATACATGCTTATATAAGATTGGGTAATATTCAAAACTTGTCATTTACGAGGCTTAAAACTAATGTATATTTACAAAGAGGAACCCCTAAAGTTTCTTGCTCATTCTTCTCAGGGGAAACAGTCTTACGAATGAGCAGTTGAGTTTAATTAATATGACGATTTCAAGTGTACCTAAGTAAGTATAAGTGTTGCTTACCTATGAAATAAAGATTATTTCAGTTTGAATTATGAAAACGTGCCCAATCTATGTTTTTCTAAAAATAACACGCGTTAAAAAATAAACTATATTCATTCCTTGAGTTACTTTTATTGTCGTTCACGCTCGTGACGTGGGCCGGCGCAACAGTACCTGCTCTTTTTGCGGCTCATAATCCGCTAATAGTGGGCATTGTCCGCAGATGACGGACACACATATTTAAAATTTATTCCTTTCTGTCACTCTGACTCCGTCGCCGGAAAAAAGGCGTAAAAAAATGTTGCGACAATGGGCAAGAGTTGAGCCACCGTCCCTTCGCTTTCCAGGAAACGCTGTAAATCATATTTGTGAATGCAATGTAAAATTTATCAGCAACACGATAATAGTGGGTTATTGTGCGTGATCTTTTGCCAGCGTGGCTACTCCACAATGCAAACAAAACTAACTGGTATTTTCAATCATCTCGTAATCCCACTGAACTAATATTACGCAGCGGGATTTGCTGCAGCTTCGTAGAAGGACCTGTGGTTATAAAGAATCACTAATCTAATTCATAACAACAATATTTCCATAACTTTACACTGTGTAAGAACTCCTTTTCAAAATTGGTTATTTCAGAAACCACACAAATAGCGGCTATACCAAATGAAGAAACATTTTTGTAATGTAATCTGAACAGAGTTTTCAGAAGATCCGAATACCATAATTATCACATATTTTGGAGATACTTTATGCAGATTGAACTAAATATAAATAATACGAAATAATTGCTCCACGGTTACTTTCACATTTTGAATGCTCAGGTAGGTATTGTGAAATGGCGGCCATATATATTTTTTTCGAATTTTTTTTTCAGAAGTTTCCTGGTTCACATTAAACTAGTAAAAATGAGTACGCAGTGAAGCGGCGAAGGACCACTGTCGGATGGCGATGGGATTCACGACCATGAGAAAGTTCGCCCCGCGGAGATCCCACGCATTCACTTTCTTCGAGACTAAATATTAAAGAAAGAATATAAATATAACAGAAGTAGCATGAACATGAATTGTTTATTACTTCATTGTTATTATTTTCTAATTTTTCATTATTTTCCTACATTGCAATACTGCGCTATGTAGAAGAATGTTGACTCTACGCCAGTTATTTATCTTAAAAAGGCTCAATCATCCGGAATGAGTACCACAAATTCCATTTCACCCTTTCGCTTATCCATTCAATGTCCATTATATACACATATTGGCGCTCGAATACTTAGCACTAAACAAATCTTCACATTTTAATAGTTTGAAATCTTTAATTTAAAACCACAAAGACTTGCAGCGATTGTATCAGTTAGACATGAATAGCCTGCGAAGTGTCGCAGATCTATATCTATAGCAAGAGTTCGCAATAGAAACGTCAAGTCACGCAAGGGACAATGGGGTGCAGATTACGCGGTCAGTTTCGGGAAGCGCGCCATTGATGCGTCGACAGTGGACCAACACCTTGCGATGAACCCTTTATTATAGAAGGCTATGGACAGAAACGACAGCAAATGGGAGGATTCTCTATGTGACCCTTACATGAAATAAGATCTCCTCCAGCCTAAGGCTCCCACAGTCCAACATTCTCGTGTTATATAGGTTCGAAAGTCTGCTCACAAGCTCAAAAGTTCATACATAAACATTGTTATCGTTTTAATATACCTATTCACGATTTAAAGTCCATGTCACTCATTAATTCAATCCGTCACCAGCCAAAATGGTGCGGCAAAGGGTAACTTAGATGTAGGATCGAAACATTCGTAGGAAGCAAGAAGTAAGAATTCGTAGAAGTTTCTACTGTGTAGTGTATATGCTAAGAGGACCTCTTTGCCTTTTTCTGTATCTTTCGATAACCGGTACGTCTGTGGGGTCGGAGTGAACAGGCATCTTGAAGCGTCCACATCGTCACCATCAGATGCGATTGTAAATAAAATTACGTATTAGCGTTACGCGGCGTCATTTATGTATTTTTAGCACAATGACAAAAGCGCAATATGGCTTTTTTGCTACCCTTCCGTGTGCAATAATCAGAATGGACACGGAAGGGTTGACTACGAATAACAGGCGCGCTACGACTGCACTGACCAGCGCACACGAGACGCTAATACCCTTCTTATCACGTTACTACATAAAGGGTAAAACGCGTTGATAGAAATTGGCAGCTGTGTTAATGTAGCACAGATGGCGTGTTCATTGTGTTACTTTGATTTGAATGAAGACGAGGGTGGTTGGTAAATAGGAAGTGAGGCATTACATAGCTGTGGATTTCAAAATGTGAAATTAAATTGTTATTTCAAAAATTAGTAGAAAACATTAGTTACTATTTGATTAAAGAGCCACAAAATAGACTTATAACGAAGGTCAAGTTTGACCTTCATTGTCAAGTTAAACATCACATCTAACACGACATTCAGATTATACAATGATTATAACATCATGTATTAACGTATCCTCAATTATGAAGTGGCGAAAATCGAAAAGAACTTTTGGAAAAATGACAATAGATTAAAAAAATATTGTGTTAGTTGGACTTTGTATGTTTCTTTTTTCTTTATTTTTTGTTTATAGTTTTTGTAGATAGTTTCGCAAAACGTAACTTCACCAACTTTTTTGCTGTCTACATATTATATGATGCTAAAAATGACATTTCCATTTAAAACAAATGAGAACATTATTTAGAAAGATTGTAATGGTTATTACATAATCCTGAGGAGAACAGTGCACAGCTGTGGGTATAATTGTTTGATAATGAAAATAGTAGAGGTCCTATGCTGTAACGGTTTTCCACCTAGAATTCGCAGTGGCTAATTGTGTACAGGAATAGTTTAGAAAGAAAAATGCATTGTTTTCTAAAACAAATTATCTTACTCTCAGTACTATAAAAAGAGGGTGACAAAAAGGTGGGATGATGATGAAGGAGGTCAGGATCCCCGTGCTGGGAGAAATATTTGTATGGCCTACATTTATTTCTCTCGTGAGTTTGGGTGTAATCTGTGGTTGTCTATGTGT